ACTGCTGGCTGCGTGTCTTACAGGACTACCATCTTCACGCTTTAGTTTTCTCATCTGAACAGTGGGAGTTATTACAATAGTAAGACTGTTACGAAGTTAGAAAGTGTGTGTAAGGTGCTCAGCACAGGGCCTGCTCCGTCGATGCACGCAGCTGTAACCGCTGGGTCCCGCGTGGGGGAGGCCAAGGCCTCTGAGACCTGGGTACAGCTGGAGCCTGTGGCCTGGCATCTTCCCTGTGCTGCCGGGAAAAGGAAACACAAGTCTGATCTGGATGCCTTGAGAGCAGCTTCACTTTCCCTTTAGGACAGCCTTTCTCAGCCAGGTTTCTTCTGAACCAGAGCTCAGAAAATAACTGGAGTGACTATTTTTTTCTCTCCCCTGGGGAGAGACAAGAACATAACTAACACCATTCTAGATGCACAGGAAAGGCGATCCACTCTATACAATGAATGATTTTGGACACCGAGGCTTAATCACCACTCCCCCTTTAGAAAGGCTGTTCTGATGCTTGTTGAAGACCTGGTGCAGGGGTTCAGCGTAACACCGTATTTTGTTTAATGCACACTCATGTTTTTGGACTAAACTTTCAGGAAAAAAATCTTTTTAGTTTTTTAATCAGTTATATTTAGATACTTGTTTTTGGGTTATAAAGCCATTTATTTTCAATATATTATGATGTGAGTAGTTTTTATTAAAAAAAAAGAGATTTTATTTACTTTTAAAGAGGGGAAAGGAAGGAGAAAGAAAGGGAAACATCAATGTGTGGTTGCCTCTCATGCACCTGCCACTGGGGACCCAGCCCACAACCCCGACATGTGCCCTGGCTGGGAATTGAACCGGAGACCCCTTGGTTCACAGGCCAGCACTCAATCCACTGAGCCACACCAGCCAGGGCAGGTACAAGAAATTTTTTAAAGAATTGGAAAGATTTATATAAATGTGGAATTAGTACTACCCATGTATAAGCATCCTTATTTTTCCGTAAAAAAATTGGGCAAAAAGTGTGCATTTTACACAGCAACATTCGTATGCCCTCCTCAGGCCCTTCTCTAGAAGTCTCTCCCTGTCTTTGAAACTTCTCACTTGGCAGGTGTTAAAACCCCTCCCTCTCCCACCCCCATGTCCCTGGAACACCACTCATTTATTCCTTGTCCTCCATGTGGTGCCCGCCACACACCCAACTGCCTGTCCTGACGGGTGTTGCCCTGTTCTTGAAGAATGACTCATCCCTCCTCCACCTCTGAAGTCACAGTGAAGAGCATCCCCAAGACAGTAACTGCTGATAACCAGAACAGCAGTAAACACGACTGATACTTTTTTTTTTTGACATGTTGACTGTTTTAAGTCACCTGGATCACCTGCTTTTCTCAAGTACCTCTCCTTGACAAAAGCTAAGAATCACCCGGGGAATTAAATCTGGTATGATCCGTGCCGTGGAGGCCTCTGCGAGACCCGGGTCACAGGGCAAGGCAAACCTGTTCTTCCTGGTGCTGTTCCTACTTCCCGCCGGGCCTTCGGCACCCACAGGGCGCATGCTGCCTTCCAGGAGGGAGCAGGAACCTTTCTCTTTTTTGGGTGGGGGCAGGGCGCGATCATAATGTCTTCTGTTAGTGAAGAGTAACAGTGGGTGAGCGATTAGCAGTGTTTACTGCAATTCATATAATGGAACATCATGTAGCCATTAGTTTTTGAAGAATATTTATTGACATGGGAAAATGCTCACAATATATTAAAGAAGAAAAGCAGGATACAAATCTGTAAATACAGCATGATTCCCATCTTGTAGTAAAATAAATTATATATGCATAGAAAAAACACAGGACAGAAACACACTAAAACATTAACAGTGATTTATCTCAGGGTGGTGGGGTTTCAGGTGAATTATTTTTTAAAATTATTTTCTGCATTTTTCCAAACTTTTCACAATGAACATATATTTACTTTTATAGTCGAGGCGGGTGGGCAAGGAGGGAAGTCAATGCAGGTGACCCCCAGGACGAGGAGGGGGCAAGACCAGTGGTAGTCAGGGGATACTTCGTACTTGTAGCTTATCAGCCTGTGTCCTTGTATGTAAAGGAGGGGTGACATCTGTCCTGCCCGCCTCCCAGGACCACTGGGTATGTAAAAGGGTCTCAGGTGTCTGTTGTTACTCCCAAGCGGCAGCTCAAGTGCCCCATTTTAGGACACACCCCTCCATACCATTTCCAAGGTCAGGAAGGATGTTGGGACAGGGCCCGTAGAGTGCAGATGGCTGGTGCTTTCTCATCGTCCCCACTGCAGGCCAGCAAGCCAGGCAGACGTCTGCAGAGCCTGCAGCCCTGGCCTCTGACCTCAAGTACTCTGGGCCCCTGCTAGTGATGCGCTACTGAGCAAGCTTCCCAACTCACACGTCAACACCAGGTCACCTCCTGCTTATGAAGTTCTTTAATCTGGTTCTGCTGAAATAGTTATTGCTTTAAATGGCCTGAGAATTACCACTCTTCCAGCATTCCAGAGTCATAAGGGGGCAAGGCGGACCCCAGGTGGGCAGTGTGGTGAAGGGGAAGGAGGGTGGCTAGGGATCAGGCCGCCTGGAGTTGGACAGACGTGCTGCGTGGTGCTGCGTAACACGCTCTCTGGAGATGATCTCTGAGATGTGATGCGGTTACATAAGATAATAGACATGGACAACCCAGCACAAAGTAAGCACACAACAGATGTCAGCTCTTTCCGTGTGCAGAGTGAGGTCACCATGAACCTCTCCCGCTGCAAATTCTTTCATCAAAATCAAAACTGACTGCCCAGTGCGGGGAAATGGAAAATGAAGCAGAATCCTTGGAAAGCATAAGCGCACAGCTACTTAAATAAGACTGTTCAAACCCGACTCTGCGTGAGCCACGCTGTTTCATTAAACGTGTCTTCGTGTAGGTGGGCCAACACTCATGCCAAAATTATTGGGTTGTAGAAATTACAAAAATACTTTAAAACTGAACTTGTAGAATAAAGTAATAAAAATCTTGAATTATTCTTTTCTAGGCTTTTTCACTTGATCTAGAACTATAAACTGCCAAGTTTCATTCTATTTACTGTTGTTAAAGAACAAGTCCACTACCAACTTCTATTCCCAACTGTTTTTGGATGAAAATCCTAAAACGCATCGTATTCTTTGTAGTTTTGTTAATAGTGTTCTGGGTTTATTCTCTGAAGAAACTCACGGTTATCACTATGAGGATTAGCCCTGGGCCATAGTGTCGCACAGACGCTTTCTAGGTCAACAGGAGTGTCCCTTGGGACACAGGCTGCCCAGACTTGTGACACCTGGATTAGGGAGTTCCTTTTCGCTGCTTCCTGTCTAGTTTTCAGTAGCCTGCCTTCCAGCCAGCACTCCTCCTTTGCTATTTTTCTGTGGACTTGAAAGCCAGATAACTAAACATGTTCAAAATATATGCAAATTTTAGCAAAGAGGCAAAAAGAAATTCTTGAGGCTTTCTCCTGTGAATAAACTGCAACAAATGTTTGACATTTCTTTTGGCAGCTCAAAGGCATTTAAAAACAATTCCTGATTTGCTGTTTTGCCAGAGAAGTGACTTCTGGATAAATGACATTTTTCACTTACATTCCATGTACCTATCCTTAAAAAGGCTACTATGGTAAGTGAGACAATGGATGTAAAAGCACTTGAAAAAAGCATGAACTGTGAAATAGTGTTGTTTATCCCATGTATCTGTAAAGAAACACACACAGATGGCTAAATTGAATCAACCCCAATGTTTTATTTAATTTAAAGTTTTAAAAGGCAGTGGTTAAGCACATTATCTATGTGTATATATGTATGTATACAAACATACATACATATATAAAAGGAAACCAACCCCTTTTCAACTTTAGCCACTGATTAACTAGGCTCACTGATTCATTTTCTACTTCTTCATATGACCAATTTTAAAAGTAAAAATAAACAGCCTGAATCAGTTTAACAGTAACAATTTGTGTTTCTTCTCAATAAATAAGGTTACCATTAAACTGATCATACGGTAGAAAGGTAGAACACGCACACGCCAGCACACACACAGTCCCCAATTTAAAACGCGACGTACGAATGACCTGTATGTACAGAAGGGTGCTGCTGACCACCCCAGCCCTGGCAGAGGCCACAGGAGAACTCCCAGTACTCAGGAGTCCCCACTCCCTCTGTTGGGCTGGAGGATGTGTGTTCCTGACACCCCGAGTTAGACCTCAGAATGCATGCTCCCCATGCAACGATACAGATGGGGGTTCAGTTCTATGGTACTAGTGTTCAGGTACGTGAGGGAATAAATAGGCATTTGTAGCTGCCTCAGAACTAAACCATCATTTATAACTCTTTATAGGGAGAAATGTATTCTGAAGTTCTAGATCAGTGACATACAAACTTTTAGAGTGTAATCAGTTTGCAAGTCTGGGGCTGTGTGTGTGTGTCTGTGCATTTCTATTTATTTATACAAAACTGAAATGAAGAAGGGGGCTCGGTTCACGGAGCAGCTGCTCGGCTTCCCTGTGGTCGGTCCTGATCTAACAGGTCACTTGCCTCAGCCCTTATTCAGCAGCTCATTCTGCTTCTCACGCGCCTCCGCCTGCTGGAGAGATTCAGAAGGGGCAGCTCACACAAGTGACTGGAAGGACGCAGCTGAATCTTCTGCGAAGAATCTTGGCAAAGGGATCTGCCAGATTCGGCCCGGGTTGCTGTCAAGAATGAAGTCCTTCAGTTCCGTCCTGATGCGGTGGCATTATCTGCCGCTGCGGGCCCTGCAACTCCATCCAACTGCAGCTCTGTGTGAACGCCTCAGCATCGCAAAAACACAGGTCACCTCTTCAATATGCTGGATTCTCAATGAGTAAACCAGTTAATGTGTTTCTAGCCAAAGCAAGGGCATAAATGTTTTAGAGAAAAGATTCCCCTGGAGCTACAGAGAAAAGATGCTGATAAAAGCAATATTGAGAGTTGAGCAGGTGATGCTTTTAGTCCGTGTCAGAGCTGGTCTCTTCGATGACTGAGTACTGGCTGAGTGCTTCCTCCAAAGGCGTTATTGTCCCATCAGGTTTTAGTCCCATTGGTTTAAGCAACTCCTCTCTGGAAAAAGAGATAAAAGAAAGAAAAAAAAAGTATTCACCAGCATCACACACACACCCCTCCCTCCCTCCCCACTCCACATCCTTTTAAAAAGAAAAGTCTTTAAAAACCAAAGTATTTTTCCTCAAGCTCTCTGTGTGTTTGTAACAGGAAAGATGAAAGGGGCATGGAAAGAAAAAGAGGGAGATAAAAGACTTCATTCACACAGGCCGAGCCTCCTAAGCCAATTAAAAGTATGAAAAGTCAAGGTCTAAATGGGCTCAGGACAAGGAGCAGGTCTCTTCTGTTTTTAATAATTAACTTTTTTTTCCCTTTTGTGGATTTGTTTTGTTTTAGTGAAGTTGAAGCTACCAAAATTTCACCTGTCTCAGTGGGCCAGGCATACAATGAAATGGCTGATTTGATACGTGCTTTTGTTCAATGGAATAAACACGTCAAATTTGATTTTTGCCTCCCCAATCTCTAGTGATAAATAAGTACTTATTGATTTATTTCAAATCAGCTGGCCATCTCTAACTTTCTCCCTCCCTTTTCTTTCCTTCTCTCTCTCCCCTCAACCCCCTTCTTTTGTAAAAACACCATTGCTTTTGTTTGTGGCAGTTTAATTACGAGACTGACAGCCATTTTAATCTCTTCAAAGCTTCCCAACTGCCCCTTTCCAGCTAATCCAATTATATCTACTCCACGAGTTACAGCCTCATCTAAAGATGATTAATTATTGATTAAGCCAATCAAAAAGCATTAGGAAAGATTTATTTAATCTTTTCATAGGCTAGGATTTATTACATGGAGATTATGGCAAATGTACCTGTTGAGTTGCTAACTCTAGTCCTTCTACCCTAAAGGTCAGCAGTGCACTTGAAGTGGAGCCTTGAACTGGCACATGAGCTGCTTAAAACATAGTTCTCACCGATATGAGCATCGTCCCCTGAACACGTCTACAACCAAGAACCCACATGGCAGCGGCTGTAATGTTGGTGGGATGTGGAGGCCAACAGTACAATCTCCTCTCCTCCTGCCTCCCTGCTGTTGTCCTCTCAGGCCAGCACAGAGGGCTCCCTCCTGGGGAGGACCGGCCACCCAACAGCGGGGTGGCACTACAGGGGCAGTGAGATGTCCTGACGTGGGGTAAGAACGGCTCGGTGGTCCCTGATAAGCCTAGTCAAGCATCTCTGGCTAGCACTGGAAGACTATTTCTGACAGTCTGAATAATAAGTAATGTGGATGACTGGCTGGCTAAGTTGATCCTGAATATTATAAAGTAGGAAACATGTTTCCTGATCCAAGAAATGGGGTCGGAGTCATAGAACTTAAAAGTTGAAGGGGCCTCAGAGATCATTTAGTCCAACCCCCTCTTTAAGAAGAAACTGAGTGACTTACCCAAAGTCACAGAGCTAGTGGTGGCACTGGAGCTGGGACACAGGGCGTCTGAGTCCCAGGCCAGTGCTCTCTGCAGCACACACACACCTTGCTAGCTGCTCTGACTGCTCTGGGGGAGCCCACTCAGTTCAGCTGTTCAGCGTGTGTTCAATAACCCTGTGCCAGGACCCATGTCACACACCAGGGAGACTAGGAAGACTGGGTTCAGCGGCTGCATTTGAGTGGGTGAAATACGTACATGAAAAGCAACTCAGAGCACAATGGGGTAAAATGCTGTAAGATGCTCACGAAAAAAGAACTGTGGCAGCTCCTGAGAAGCGAGCCCGGCCTGCCCGGGGAAGGTGGGGACGGCACACCACGAGGTGTCCTGTGCTAGGCAGAGCAGGCACAGGGCATTTCAGGCAAAGGACACCGTGTAAAGGGCTCCGTATGGTGCCATCTACTTGTGTGATTTTGCAGACCTTTTTGGATTGTGTTACGTTCCTTTCTGTCTCTGCTCTCTAACGCTGTGAGAGGCTGTAGTGTCGGGGAATGGGGAGGGTCCGAGAAGGAGCAGCAGGAGGTAAGGGTAGTTTGGGGTCTAGTAATCAAGTTTCCTAAATGCCAGGTAAGGTACTCGGGTTTTGCCCTGCCAAAATGTCCAGTCCGCTTGTCTCAGAGGGAACTGTCCCCAGCAGTGTGTGAAGAACACATGAGAAGAGGGAAAACTGGTGGCAGAGAGACAAGTCAGCAGGATCACCGTAACTGTGTGTGAGCACTCGGAAAGCTGGACTACCGCTGTGATGTGGGAAGACAAGCTGCGTTTCTGAGGTGGATCTGGGATCCACCAGAAGGGCAGGGGCTGGCTGGGGAGAGAGAGCGAGGAGCGGAGTGTCCCTGTGCTTCCAGCTCAGACGACCACGCTGCACACCACCCACTGCACCGAGAACAGCGTGGACGGAGCAGCTCTGGCTGTGGAGAGGTGGAGATCTTTACGACACAAGGAGCCTGAGGCCCTTGAGTGCCAGCCAGGTGGAAATGTTTAGTGGAGAGCCAGAACACTGTTTTCATTCCAAGCTCTCTCCAGCAAGGACACACACTATGTGCATCTGTATTTTTACCACATGGTTTCCTAACTATGTGCTGGAGGACTCTGTGATATTGGACACTACTTACTAATAATACGAAGGAAAAGAGGACAATCTATTGAGAATAAAACATTAAGGGATAAGAAAGTTCAAAGATCTGAGGAAGTTGGTGGGCTTGACAGCACAGTCAGATGGGGTGGGGTGAAGGGCTGGGGTAGGTAGAAGTAGATGAGACGAGAGAAATTCTACCCAGATAGGGATGACTGCTGGCAGATATACCACCACCCCTAACACCACTACGCTTCTTTGGTGCTGGCTAGGTACCAACTGCTCAGAGTAGCTAAACTTTCTCATTCAAGCCCCAGGAGGAATATATTCAAATCAAGCTTGTCAGTTTCACTCCTACTCCTTCATCTAGTTTTACAATGGAAATAATTAAGAACAATTCAAAAGTCTTATGGCTAATAATTCATCTACAGAAAAAAGGACCCCGTATTTTAATTCCCACTTGTGAACTCTTCTTCACACGCATTTACTTCTGGGCCTCTGTCTCACCCTCCACTGACATGGAAGCTCCTCTGAGGGTAAGACTTATTTTCCTTTCCACACGGCCCCGCGGGGTGCCTGGACTCCCTGACACTCCTGCAGGGGAGGGTGTCAGTGATAACCGGCCACGTAGTAGTGCACCGCGCAAGTGAATTCAGGCAGCAATGTGATGTAGTGAAACCAAAAGATCTGGTGCCAGGAGGTTTGTGGGCAAAGTCCTGGCTCTTCCACTTACCAGCAGTGTGGTCTTAGGCAAATCTGAGTGTGTTTCCCCATCTGTGAAATGGGAATGATGGAAATGCTAGCTCTAACTACTTCCTGGTGATGATGTAAGGAGCAGCAGTAATAGTCCTAATAGTGGTAGTAACAGTAGTAATAAAAATGCAGATGAAAGATTTCCATGAACTCTAAAGGAGTCCTAAATATTAGTTATTATTGCGGTATGATGAAAGACACATACAGGTTTTAGAGCCAGAAAGCCCTAGGTTCTAATCCTGGGGCACTAAGACCTTCACTCTCTATCTGCAGACCTGGGACGGAAATACGTACCTTGCAGAGCTGTCATGAGGGCAAAGGTCATTACGTATCTAAAGTGCACAGTGCAGTGGCTGGAATATAGCTGGAACCCACAAGCTGCAATTCCTGCCATGTGATTATGCAAAGTTTCCTCAAGCTTATTAGGGCACCTTTGGGAACTGAGTGGAAGGAGGATATGCAGCAGCAAATAAAAGACATGGTCCCTGTCCTTGAGAAGCTTTTTGTCAGCTCAGAAGATAAAACACACACACATATTAAACAATATTAAAAGAATTACAGAACAGATCAATAAGCTTGAGATGATTAACAGGCAAAGCCCTGCCTTACCTAGCCTGACAGGTCAATATACCCTTATTGCAACTGAAATCTGTTCAGATGAGATCTAGCCCTGTTTGGGAGCAGAAAGAGAGAAGTTCACTTACAGATATGTGACTACTTTTTCTTGTAGACCCCAGCCTTTTTTTTAAAACCACCATCTTAAATGAACATTTCTCATATTCTGCCTATCATACAACTAGCAGCCCACAAATAGCAAAATGAAACTCTGATATAGAGACTCACCCCTAAAAGGTCTGATAAGTGACCTGATTATACCAGACTGTTTCATTTTATCAGCTCTGTTGTAAATAGGTCAGCAAGGTATGGACGGAGAATGGGCAGCATTAACAGAAACGCTGCCCCGCCAGTCACGAACATGTGGGAGGGGCGCGGGAAGAGGTGGGGCTGCTGCCCTTGCAGGAGACGGACTCAGGGCCAGACTGTAACAGAAGTGATGAACACGGACTCAAGGGGAGAAAGGCATCCCACAGGCAGAAGAATTAGTCAAGCAAAGGCACAGAAGCAAAAGTTTGCAGAGACTGGCAAACAGACTCGCTTGGTTGAGGTCAAGGGGAAAAAAGCTCGAAACAGATACGGGGCACAAAAGAGAATCTCAGTGGAGACTGAAGTCCTAGGCTGACAAGTCAGGCTGACAGTGTAGAGGACGTTTTGTCTTCTCTTTCAAGGGCCCTACACTTAAGAGTATTTTTTATTAAAAATAGTCTCACTACAAAGTTGGAAAGCTATGAGACAATATCACTGACATTAAAAGGAAAGTGTTCTATGCATTAATTTTCATATCCCTATGTGTCTAGCACAGTGCCTTGCAGATAGCAGCTCCTCGGTACTTATGAACTAAATTTAGTTGCAGTGGATATTACCGTGCACTTTCACAGAAAGGAAAGGTATGGTGTTGTATGGGCCTCCTAGTAAATAAACTACATGACCAAGAGAAAGCTTGATTTTTGTGTAGAAGATCCACTTTCCGCATCAGGATCCTGAGTTAGGAGAGATAGTATTAGCATCCTGCAGGAAATTCTGCACAATGCTTTCCAGGGATTTCTCCTTCCCTACTAGACTATTAGCAACTTGAGGGCAGAGTCCATGTCTTATCTGGCTGTGATTTGGGAATCTAGTATAGGATGGAGCACACAGTAGGTACTCAGTGAAAGAATATAATACATGGGTCACAGCATGAAAGGAGAATGGTAGAGAATCATTTGTCTAAAAAACATTCTCATATTGTTCTAACTGTAATTATTTCCCCAATGAGTCCGTATTATCAGACATTATGACGTTCAGCAGAAGTCAGGCCTCCTCTGCACCACACAGCCTGCAACTCCCAACTACTAACTGGTGTAGATTCAGCTTCTTATATGTGGGGCATCAGGATGTCTAGACTCTAATCTCAGATCTTCCACTAACTTGCTGGGTGTCCTTGGGCAAGTCACTCCCTTCTCTGGGCTTGAGTTTCCCTATCTATAAAATGAAGGGGTTGGACAAATGATCCCCTAGATTCTATTCTCAGAGTCTGAATATTAGGCTACTAAATAATTTTGATCTCTATAAAAAGCTGCTAGGTTTTTAAAACACTAAAACTCAATACGTTAAACTGCTGTTTTTAATCACTGTATTCTAAGCCTACAAGTCAAACACAACACCCTACCTACCTGTCACTGACATACACCAAGACCAGAAATCCTCTCTGCAAAACTATGAGCAGATGATTAGAATGATTACAAAAGTAAATCAAAGCAATGGCAAGGGTTACAAGGAAGGATCTATATTCAATCATGGCCCTCAATAAACAGGCCGTTCCATCAGGAGTTACTGGTCCTAAATTCTGAAGGTCCCATCTAAAAAGGATGGCTTCGATGTCAGATATATGTACATCATGATTAAACCAAGATATTGTATACTGAAATGTGCATCAGGATTAAGATATTTATACAGCAACAACTCCTTCATACTTACCTTCAATGCTACACACAGGCCTTAACACAAGTTAAGACTGCCCTCGTTATCATCAAAAAGTACAGTGATGTCTACTGGACAAAGTGCCCATTCTAGGCACTGGGACAGTATCATGGCGGGCTTCTCATCTGATCAGGCATCTGGCCAGGGAAGAGATAAGCCTCCAAGAATGTTCAACTGGAACGAAACATCATTTAGAAATTTGATCTTACTAAACGGTAAGGAACCATAATCTACAAGGGTTTGGCCAGGCACGAGGACACAGATAAAGCACGTCCAAGAAAGGAAACCCTATTTTTGCCCCAGTCTAACCCGTGGGACTGCTAGTGAAAACCAAAAAACCAAAACAGAACTTTCTTAAAAGTTTTAGGGGTGGGAGATTATAGGATTTACACCATATTTATAATTTCCTGGTATATATATATTTTCCAGATATATGTGAACACTTTCCTCAGCCACCATTTCCCTGTAAGTATGGCCCTCTGGGATGCCTGGGCTTATATAACTTCTCAGAACCTTAGAGAAGGTTCCACTTGTCAGGGCTTCTGGTTCCTATGTAACTCTTTCCCCCAGAAACGACAGTGCAATATTGGGGCTCAGATACTAACACCCAATCGCACATTACAGAGTAGGTCAGATGTGTATGTGTATAAAACACCTTACTTGACCTGGAAGCAAGAGAATAATACTCTTGCCCACAGCACATATTTTTGTGCAATACAAACAAAGCATTCAATTCAAGTGGACTTGTTGAAAAACAGGACATAAGTAAGCAGTTGGTAAAATACATTCTTGTTTCCCACTTGCAGATCTCCCAAGAGTCCCTTCGAATTTACCTATACGAGATTCAGCTTCCCGCTCGCCACTTAGCTTGATAACGACTCAAAAATCATTCCCTTGTTTTCAAGGGCTCTTCTTTCTTGTCTGCTCTGTGTACTACAGGGCAGTATTGACACATGGAATTAATGACAGGGTCTGTAATGAAACAACAGTCATGCAAACACCGGTCTGCTCTTTTGATAAAACAGTATGTTAGAGACCTATTCACCTCCCTCTAATTGAGTACTACTGCATAATAGTTCCGATCCTTTTATGTAACATATTTTGTTCTATGATTAGAAAGGAAGAAAAGGGGGAACCTATAAGGCATTGCTCCTTCAATCATCCCCTGGTTAATTCTCCGTTTTTAATGAGGGTGGCTGTTATTTAGGCAGGTTCTGTTACATACTTGTTTTGTTGACTTCTGTACAATGCATAACAAAACCCAGGACAGGATAATTGGGAACCATTTCTTTGGCACAGGGATTCCTGCTCTTAATGCAAGGTTGGCTTGGAAAAAAGAAGCCTGACATTTCGAATTAGTCATTTCATATTTAATTCCTTTAAACATCTGAAAGATAGGATGAGAAACTTGTATATAAATAAAGCCTTTTAATTAACACAGAGCTTTCTCCAAAATGCCTGCAAGAATGGAGCCTGGGATAGCCTGAAGAAAGCTCTGTAATCTTTGCTATAATTCCAAGTCTGAGAGTGCATCTTATTTCAAAGTTTCTGGATCACTGGAACAGTCAGTGCATAATTCACTGAAGTACAATGATTTCCCACTGACTTGTGACATTCTTATAAGTGTTTTTGACTCTTCCCCCACCCCAGAAATAATATTATAACCTTTGACTCTAGTTAACATGTTCATTTATATACTATGAAAGTGTCTTTTGGACCCTGATCTTTCATCTTTCATTATATCTTTCGTTTGATGGCTTCCTACTGCTGACTGGTTATCCTGATTTTCCTCTAAGTCACTAACCCAATAGGCAGAAGGTATATGGTGGCTTTTCCATAGCAAATTCTAGGTATTCAGGCTGCATCTTTCACAAATGACTCTGAGGATGTTTCCTTAGCCCTCACTATCATGCTTTGGGTTTGGGCACAGTTGGGAAGATTGAACATGTAGCATACAAATATCACCCCCAAGACAAATGAATATGGCATATTGTCTGCGCCACACCTTTCCACCTTGTGAAGGCAATGGGGGAGTTTCCTGAAGAGTCCCAAAGGGAAGGAAGCCTTTTTAGAGTTAAGTTTTCCTAATGTGATCACACTAAATAATAAGCATTTGTCAGAATACCTATAATCATTCTCTTTTCAAAACTGAGACCTTATATTAACAAAACAGACCTTATATTAACATAGAACAATAGCAATTTTACTGGCTTTTTCTATATAAAACTGTTTTTTGTTGTTAAAAATATAAGCTATTTATTTAGCTTCTGACCTGATATTTGTAAAGAGCTCAAATCAACTATGGAATGAAGAGTGGAAAAAATATCCTCCAAATCTTAATTCTCTTCTCAGGTAAATATGGTTACTGTCTGTCTTTATGCTTTTCACTTGTTTAAAATTTAGAATTTCTGATTTAAATTGGACTGAAAAATTTGGGGGTGGTGTTGGTAATTTTCAAAATAATGCATGACCTGGAGTCTGAAGACTGAGAACGGAGTCCTGGCTGTGTCGTTCGTTAACCAGACGCCTGGGCTGGGTCAGCCATGTGATTACTGGTCCTGTTTACTCTTCAGTACAGCACCTCTTTCCCTGTCTAATCCATAGGGCTGTTTTAATTATCAACAGAGATGATATATATGGGTACTTTTTAAAAAAATTTAAAGCACTATGTAAATATTAGTCTTTTACAGTTGTTTTCAATTCTGTTAGAAGAACACATGCAAAGCTTGTAAAAATTTGCTACCTGCCTCACATTAAACAGCATGGTTAAAATGCAGAGAAAGAGGTTAGGGATAGTGCTAGAAAAATAATTTTCAGTTTTTTCCTTAAGAAGAAGTGGTTCTTTATTATTTCCTGGTAATTTCTTTATAGAATTTTTCTATCCTATTGTCCAAATTAGCAAAATAAATATTAATGAGAGGTCAGCATGCCAACTGACACTATGAAGCACTAAAAGCAGAAGTTCTCACATGCTCTCCCCAAACAGAAAGCCTAAAAGTTAAATGAGGAGGGTAACTAATAGAGCAAATAGCCAGTGGGTTATTCTTATTTGATATTTCTCTAGTAGAAGCCATTTCAACTAGTGCTTAAACCAAGAGCTCAAAGCAGTTGTTCCTACTGCAGAGTTCAGGAGCAATGACTGCCATCAAGCAATACAAAGGTAGCATGACATCCTCCTTAAGCGTTGTCTAGCCAAAAGAAGGGGCCTCAATAGCCTAACAATATACAATAGTATGAAGTTTTTCAAATTAATCTTCCCTGCCACTGTGAAGATGTATTAATTAACCTGGATCCAAGTTCCCTAAATTGAACTTCCAAGCAACCTTACAGTGTATGTTAATGTTGTGGAACAGTGCTGTCTAATGCAAATACAGTGGAAGCTACAAAATATAAGCCAGATATGTAATCTTAAATGTTCTTGTAGCCACACTGGAAAAGAAATGATATACATTTAATATATTGGGTTTGACCCAGTATATCAAAAATATTATTTTGATATAAAATCTATATTAAACAACTGAGATATTTTATATCTCTTTTTTTTACTGAGTCTTTGAAAGTCTGAGCATTTAACACTTGTGGGACATTCCAGTGCAGACTGACCACGTTTCAAGTGCTCAATGATTCTATGTGGCTGGCAGTCACATTACTGGACAGAGGACATCTAGAGGATTTTCTGATATAAATAACTGGGATCTGTATACTTTCATTTCTACAACAGATATCACAATGCTTTAAAAATGGGACCACACTTCTGAAATGTACCTGAAAAGCATTTCTTTGACTGACTCGTCAAAAAGATAGGTGTCATCACAGTTGTTATTTTTGTAAACAAAGTAACTTATTTTAAGGAAAAATTACATATTTATTACTTTTTAGTCATAAATCAACAGTCTCAGCTTTAGTAAGTTTAAAAATAATCTTTGGATTAAAAAGAACTATTCCATATTTGGTACCTGCATTAATTAAGAAAGCCATGCCCCCAATATCACACAATGACAATTAATTAATCAATTGGATAAGGAGTAGAAAAGAGAAATGGGAAAATTATTACTTATTTATATAAATGTAAATTTTAAAGTATTTCATAGAATAGATAAGCAAAAAGGCAGTGTACCTTAATGCACAGTGATGGGAAAAGAGTAGGATGAGATTAATCAGTCCTGGTTCCAACTAAGGAACTAAAGGGGTTTAGAAAAGTCAAAACAAACCTGAAATATTACTTTCTTTGGTTAGTTTAAACTTAAGCCAATCAATTCTCTCTCTTTTTCTGGAGGAGGCTGCATTATTATATACGAGTTGTGCGCTGTAGCTAAGGTGAATGCAATTGTATTAGCCACACTGGACTTGCTTAACCACACACAGTCCCCATTCTAATCTCCCGCTTAAACTGCAGGGGCTTATGTTTTTGTTGTTTTTTTTTTTTCAATTCGGAGAAGGAGGAGGTGGAGAGGCAGGCAAATTTCACCCCCTTCTCCACCTCTGCTGTCACATAAAAAATGTTAAATGAAGCTTTCTATAATCTCATGCCTCAGGCCTTAATGTTTGTTTGATAAATATAATTATCATTCTATATTATAGAAATTATGTTCCCTGATATTTAAATTAGCCACTCATAGGCCAAAGAACCTTTATGGAATCCTTTTCTAGCCCTGCATTTTATGACATTTGCCCCAAAAATGGAACTGCCAAAAGTCTACTTTAGTCTTAAACCAGTGAGGCTATTTCACAGAGCAGGAAACCTGCCTACAGATTGGGGGAGCAGCTGTGTTATTTTCTCCCACACTGAGGAAACCACGGGGTACAAGGCACTGTACTAGCTAGACACGATGGGAGCAATAGGGCTCAGATTATTCTCAAACTCTTAAGACCTCCAGGTCCACTGCCAATCCACTCACATCTGTCACAAATACAACCCTTATACTTAAAAATAAGCAAATAACCAAGCCAACAAACACACCACCTGGAATACTACTAAGTCAGTTGGTATTCGATGGGAAGAAAGTGTCTGAGCACTAATCTCTCCATGTCCTTGGAAATCTAGGTGAGACAAAGCTGCTGAGATGGTGAGCTCCTTGAGGCAGTGGCTATGTCCAGCACGGAGGCAAAATGGAAATGTAATTTTAATTTTTGTATTGGTGGTTTTAAGGTTTGGGTAGTGAGTATCACCTATCCCCTACACCAGGCTCAGTAACAGTATTTAGCATGACCAACCTTAGTCATCACTTTGGTAAGAGCTTTGGCATGGGCCACTGTTGCTAACCACCATCCTGGTGCAGGTCCTTCACATCTGCTCTCCTATGGATGGAAAAAAGGAAGTGTCTAGTGTCCAGTCATTGGCCACGTCACCTCCAACCCTATCCTTTACTCACATGCCTTTCAGTTCAGGCCCAGGAGAAAATGATTTCATTTTTGAGAAGGAAAAGTTAATCACACAAAGCTACAGTATACTTTTAGCGCAATAAAGACTCGGTAGGATGCAGAACATCCTTAGAATGACAGTTGAGGGAACTGACCTGCAGCACAATGCTGAAGAGGATGATTAGGAAGTGTTCCGGCAAACACTGACTCTAACAGACAGACACAGTATAGCACAGTGGACAGAGCAAAAGTCTTGAGTTCTGGAAAATGAAGCTCCTACTCTCAATTTACTATGAAGCTTAGAAAAAGAATGTATGTGAAGTGTTTTGTAAACTGTTAAAGGAAATGGACTATCACCAGACATTAGTTTGGAAATGTTTGGGGCAATTCTTTGGGCCTGGCTTCCCCCAATGATAAACCTGATAATATATTGATCAAATAATGATAAAATAACTTGAGCTCTTTGGAAGAAAGATGTAGTATGTGAATACCAAAGATTTATTAACAAGAGTAAGTTTCCCTCCACCTGCAACGAATAGTCATTTCTCCATTTGTCTATTAAACACCTGTTACATTTCAAGGATCAGCACAAATGCTACTGTTCCTATGAAAAAGTCCCCGATTCATTCAGACAGAATGAACTGCTCCTTTTCCTGGATGCTTATAGTTCAACACAGTCCTTACTTTATATCATTATTTGCTTCTGCTTTGTATTCTAGACTAGATTACAGTCATTCCCTTCACCAGACTGTGAGTTTTCCAAAGGCAGACTGTCAGGTTCACCAGTCTCCCTCATCTTCCTAGCACAGTAGCTTGCACAGAATAGCTGCTTAATAAATGTTCCCTGAATTGTACTACATGCAGTTTACTTTGGCTTTATGGCTTCTTGTTTACCTCAAAAAATAAAAACAAAAACAAAAACAACCAACAACAGGGAAAAGAGAAGAGAAACTGAAGACAAACATGTAAGATGCACAAAGAATGGCTTCATTCTTTGCATTCCTGCATTGGAATGCCCACTGCTGATCTCCACACAATTTTTTCATTGACTGTTATTAGTGAGAGCAAATGTTAGAAAGAACATAAAGGCAAACAATGTAAAAAACCCACCACATGCAAAACGTCTGAGACTTAGGACTATTCTCCAAGTTGCCTTTAGCTTCAACTTTAATAGTGAAATTGGTACCATCAAAGCCAACACAAGACAGACATATCGGCTCTATTTTATAAGTGTACAAATCAGTGTCACCTTCAGATTGAGTCGGGCATCTCTCTGCTAGCTGTTTCTGGATGAGTATGTATTTTCTTTGAGGCATAGTTTAAATTAAGTGGGAGCTTAGAAGCTTGGTATTTCAGACTTGACATTTGTATATTTTTGTTGGCAGCTTCTAGAATCTGTGGATTTCCCTAGGATTACAAGGAGAAGGACCTGGTACTGTTTTCTGTTATAGGTATGCCTTATGATATGGTCTTGTCTCTTTCAGTAAGTCCAGTATCTAAATTACACTGCATTACCTTACACAGTTCTAGCCCCCATCTCCTACTTTCCTAGCCTGGAGTTTACTCACAGATACATGGGCCAGTTGACTAGCATTTGTGTTATCTTTTAAGAACTCATATTATTGAAATAATTTATGAAAATCATGTTTATGTAATTAACTGCTTTACTGTCCTAACACACTAATATGCTCCACTCAGGTTCTGCTAACATTTCTTTCTCCTACCAGAGGGACTCTTGGTTCTCCCCTAACTGTTTTGTTTACACCACTGTGTCTCATCATGTCCTTCTGGAAACAGCCAATGCAAATCCCACTTTTATATATATTCATTCCTCCTATAGGTCTGTCATATCAGTATCTTATCTTTGTGAATCCATTCAGGGAAGGAACATGTCTCTTTTATCAAACATGTGGAGAATGTCATCTACAAACAGACAATGTCTTTTGAAAACTGTGAGCATTGTCAGTTGGCTATAAATTCTAACCTTGGGAAAGGATGAAAGTTTAAAGAGGCTAACTGGAAGTCACCAGGTTCTAGTCATATTAGCCTTGTAGACGATGAAACTACTTACTTCTAAATAACTCCCCCCACATTACCAGCACCGTCGGAAAGAAGCTCAGACTGCATAGGTCTGGATACCCATCCATACTTGTCACACTCCCCACATGTTCAAACACTTCTATTCCAAGCCTCCTGCTGTGCTTTTAGCCTCCGCTTGATTTTTCATTACACCTTTCTCTTTAACTGTTGGCTTTCCTATTCCAGTTGCTACTTCTCTTGACTGAGGGGGCACTAGCCTTTACATAGTTGTGAAAAAGGAGGTGAATAGAAGAAATTCACCTTTAAGTGACAGCTGCCACCAACACACAGAAGCACTCACTCAAGATAGTTTAAGGAGACAGTGACTCAATGTAAGACTGGAAAATAGAGCAATTCAGACAAGTGTGAAAGGAATGAATATTTTCTAATAACTCCTCCAAGATGACTAGTTGCTGATTAGTATATATTTAATTATTTTTAGAATTATTTTTGGAAGGGAAGGAAATGTGAAGCAAGAAGGGGAGATTGTTTTTAGAGCCCCTAATTAATACAAGCACATGCTTTCAGAAAAGTTTTCATTTGCGCTATGATGTTTTACTTTTCCTGGTGGGTGCATGACAATTTAGAATTCTTGGTTTTAGCAGCAACCCAAAAAGACAGAATTGCAAATTTGCACATCAAAAAAAGAAAAACAGCATCATGATTTGAAACAAGAACCAAAACAGACTACAACAAAAAATACAAGAAGCAGCAAAATCACTGAACCTAATCATAACATCTTTTTGGAGACAGGGAGGTTAGTGGGTTAAATGTCACAGTGCTGCAGTGGCTGCGGTCCCCGTGTTGAGAGTTGGAGTGTGTAGGAATGCACGTCCAGAAGCGGCACAGGTAGGAAACCACAGTAGCCAAAAGACCTAACTGCTGCTGCCTGGGCCACCCCGTTCCAATCAGCATGGATTTCCAGAGGTGCTGTTCTAGGGTAACTCTCAGTGAGAGAGACAAAGAAATAGAACATTTTTAGAAACCAAGCAAAAAATGGATGGGAATACAATACCTGGAAAGTTTATCAAGCATGTTGACAAGTTTCATGGCTTCATATTCTTTTTGTTCTTCTGTCATTTCATCTATAAGGTTTGGCATTGGTTCCTCTAAATGACCAGTGATAAGATTAATGCTACAAAAAGAAAAAAAAGTTATGCTGTATGTTTTAAAATTATGCTCTTTCTATACTTTTCTGGTCCAAGTTGTAAGTTACAATAAGAAAGAGTATAATTGCCAAAAAATTGGCACTAATAGCAATTTTATGGTATAGAACTGCCATAGAAAAATTTTTTAAATTTACTTTTCTAGTAATTTGCTTTGGGAAATGGGCATTAACTACTGTTTTTGAAAAAGCAAAAGCAACTTGCCAACTTAAAAAAAATAGGCAGACCTGCTTTTTAAAAATATGAAATTTGGTGCCATAGGGTAAATATCCATGGATGCACAGCTTATTCGTTAATTAAAAGGGGACAAATGATTTCAGAAGGAGAAATTTGTTTTGTGATACAGCATAAAACAAATATATCAAAAAATTGGAAAAATGATGACAGAGAGGTTGGAATCTGAAAATGAAAGCATGCCAATTTATAATCTCAGGAAATTAGTCCATTAGTGAGACCAGAGAAGGCAATGAGTGTTTAAATAAGAAAAGATAAAGCAGAAGAACTATTTCAATTAAATTTGATCTGACCTACATAAAAAAGGAATGTAATCTAGCCTACCAAGAGACAGGTAGGTATACATATGGCTTTCCAGAAATATAATAAAGTACTTAAAATGAATATGTCTCATAAACTGTACGAAGCTCTAACATCAAACAAGCTATCCTCTTATATAAAAGTCACATTATTTTTGTTTTAGAAAGTGCAGTAAAAGATAGTTCTCCCAACGACTGCCAAATGTCTATACAATAAGCATGTTTCTGGAGAAAAGGATATGCAATTATAGCATTTTGTACCCAACAAGTACAGATAGGTTGTTTTTAATGATCAAATAAAATATTCCTTCAAACAGCAAACTGCTAACAAATTACTTTGTAGGGTCTACAAACACAAATGCTTTCAGGGGATAGGCCTTCAGGATAAGTACACAAATGAGTGCCCTGGTCGAGTATAAACAATGTGGAGTGTTGGGACTGGAGTAAACTGGAGACTAGAACGCTAGTCTAACTGAAAAAGACCATGTGGGCCAATACAAAGACACTGTGATAATCAGGCCTCTGGTGGTGAGCTTTCGACTTTCACTTGGGCAAGTTAACTTTCTTTACTGACCAGGGCTTTCCTCACTTGGAGTAAGGGCTAGGTCACTAGGCACTATTATCTGTTACTAAAAGATTTCCTTTTCTTTTGCTGCATTTTTCAGAGGCCACATGACATACAGATTCTTGTGAAAGGACTCAATGCTCACCATCCTCAAAAACCAGATCTAAAATATGTTTTGCCATTCTTGTGTAAGACTTGTGTCTAGAGCCATGGTTAAAAAGCTTGCTTTCTTCAAAGTTGTGGAAACCATCCTCTCCTTCTTATTTACCAAATGAAACCCTGTGTACAGGCCCGATATGTAAAACAGACAACAGCTGCAACTGTGTAGGCAGAAGAGACAGAAATGGCTGAGAGCCCACTTTGTCTGCACTCCCCCCCCCTTTTTTTAAAGATTTATTTTTAGATAGAGGGAATGGGAGAGAGGAAGAGAGGGAAACATCAATGTGAGAGAGAAACATTGATCAGTTGCCTCTTGTACACACCCCAGCCCAGGATGAAACTTGGAACCCAGGCATGGGCCCCAACAGGGAATCTTACCTGTGACCCCTTGCTCTCATGACAAAGTCCAACTAACTAAGCAGGTCAGGGCTTATCTGCACTCTTAAGGCAGCCCCTAGACACTTTGAGTAACTCTGGAATTCAGGGGAAACAACCTGAAAACCACAGGCTTGTCAGTGATTCTTAGCCCTGGCTGTTCATTAGAATCATGTGGGAAACTTGAACGAAAAGGGGTGAGTCTCCCCTGAGACCAACTAAATCTGTGTTTTGTTTTGTTGTTTTGAAGTTCTCCAGGTAATTCAGATACACAAGTCAAGAACCAGTGGGCCTGAAGTAGGCACTCATTGTGTTCTCCTATTTCCTCTCCTTTTTTTTAGGCGCTCATAAAAGAATAGAAAAAGGCCTCTAGCTCATGGCCATTAACAAAAACACTGATTGGGGTCATCATAGTTCCCAAAAGTCAAGAACAAAGAGGACCCAGACAAGGCTTCTGAGACCTACAGAGTTTTTCAGATGTATCCAGATGCCACACTGAAAATGTCATTCCACGAACCATCTATTATTTACTTAGGCATGTAACAAGACATGTTTTCACTGGCTTCTCTACTGCCACCTGCTAAATCAGAAAAACAACTAGTCTTATAAATAAATGAATAAGTAAAGTAATTATAAGCATACAACCACTTCCTGAGCAGATGAAGGAAATCCGGTCTTAGAAGATAAGGGGAGGTAGTGGATGTAATAACTACGTATCCTTGTTTTGTCTCCGCATGAAGGCTTCTCTCCTAAAGGTCTATGGAGGGGCGATTAAAAAACTGGACCCTGCAGACTGCCTCAGAAGATGACGACATGTACAAGTACAAGCCATCATGTGAAAATGTGTCTGGAGGACACACTAGTAAACTCTGGGATTGTGAATGCCACAGCACACAAAAGTCAGGACAAGTACTCCCGGATCAGGGCACATTTGATTCTTTTCTTGGTTCTTTTACAGGTTTAATGGAACTGATATCTGTTTTCCAGAAGCTGACCTCAAGTTCTCTGCTGCTAAAATAATTTAACAGCTTACTCTGAAATCAGGTACTAAAGTCACAAAATCCTTTCCTCATTGCACATAAAAGCAGTAGCCAGAAATTCATTCTTGTGGAATAAAAACTTACTATCCTTTACCCATGGAGTAAAACATTCCAATCTTCCAAAGTTAGTCCTGAGATTCAGGTTTCATCTTTTCATTGAACAACCCCACCACTACCTGCACCCCTGCCCCTGGCCCTGGTTGGGTAACTCAGTTGGTTCGAGCTAAGGTCTGATCCCTGGTCAGGGCACATACAAGAAGCAACCAAAGAATGCATAATAAATGGAACTACAAATTGATGTTTCTCTCTTTCTAAAATCAATAAACAAAAATAAACATCACCCCCGCCCCTATCCTCTGAACAATGTAAACAATACCACAGAAAGCATAAGTTGGGGCAGTGAGCTATGCCACTCTCTGAAGGGAAAAATGCCAATGTGCTGGGGACAGGAGGCAGACTGGGACACTGTCTCCTCTCTTGACCCCGACTTCAAACCAGTCACATGTATTCTCCTTACCCAGAGAAGAAAAATCATAGTCACCGCAACAATAATGTGAGTTTCAACAAAACAGGTTAATTTCTGTTGAATAAACACTTGCCACCTTCATAACCTCAAACAGCATAGATGAGATTTAACATGACAGGTTTCTTCCAGGATCTTACCCCTATGAAATTCTGCGGTTAGTTTTATTTTGTTCTAAGACATTGAGTCTTAAGATGCTTTGAGTACATTTATTGTGGTGGATATTAATGAGTAATTTTATATTTATTGTGATTTTTCATGCCTTGTCTCTGCTTCCTTTCCTCCCCTTCCCAGGATGCTAATGCCATGATTATGTTTGTTTTCCAGCTAGGCGACAAGAAGTATCTCAACTCCTATGTGCAGTATTTCACTGAGAATTTTGTACTGCATAAGGCCATTATAAATCAACTGACAGCAGCTATGGGCCTGGAGACAAAAGGATTAAGACATACCAAAAAGGTATGAGCAAAGGGATATATGCGTAAAAGCTGAAATACATGGCAAGACTTTTGCTCTTTCTTCAGATTGTTGTTACACTTGGCCATCAACAGCACTAGAACACTTAACAAAAAAGCCACTAGAAGTTCCCTGACCTATATAAAAGGTAACTTTAATCTCTAAATAGTGGATTAAATTTCACTCAAAGCATCTGGCTGAGGAAGGGGCTAAAAAGTCCAATCCCTACAGAGCTAGTTAGGCAAGAGGAACAAAAAGGGAGCTTTCTGCCTGGTGGGAAGTGCACCACAGCCACTCAACTCCATCAGTCGGTTGCCACGTGAGAATGTTTCATCAAAGGGAGCTGAAAATCTGAATTTTCATATGAAGCATCTGAATTCTAAATGCTGACAAGTAATTATTTTAAGCAGTACTATGTAAAATAAAAAAATAAAACCCAGATAACCAATGCAACAGGGGTGAGGTCAAGCAGAACCTACTTGTGGGCTAAATCTAACCTATGGGCTGACAACTTGCAACCTATAGGAAAGGAATCAGGGATTTTAGGAAAATGCATTTTTGAACCCAGATTAGCAAAGAAGGAGACAGATGGGGTAGGAAAGGAGACATCATCTGCAAATGAAGCTAGAAATGTCTTTCCAGGAAAAACTGCACAATATTTGTCCCCCACAAAACGACAAAAGAACAAGAGCGGAACTTCACCATATACTGATTTTCTTGATTCTATTCCCTGGCTCCTACTCCCACCTACAAGTGAAGCTTGATGAGGGTGGGGTACATCATTTTGTGTCCCAGTGCTGAGAGAGGCTGACTGACTCAAACAATTTATTCAACAACAAATGACTTCTAAATTTTTTCAAAGATTTTATTTATTTATCTTTAGAGGGGAAGGGAAGGAGAGAGGGAGAGAAATATCAATGTATGGTTGCCTCTCATGCGTCCCCTGCTGGAAACTGGCCTGCAACCCAGGCATGTGCCCTGATTGGGAATCGAACTGGGATCCTTTGGTTCGCAGGCCCATGCTCAATCCACTGAGCTATACCAGCTAGGGCAACTCAAATGATTTATTCAACAAAATTTACTGAGTGCCTACTGCTGTGTGCCAGGCACTATTCTGGGACATCTCAATGAACAAAACAGACCAAAAAAAAAAAAAAATCTCTTCTCTCCTGCAGCTTATCTTCCAGTGGAGAAGAGAGACTTAATAAACAAGCTGTACGGTATGTTAAAAGTGCTATGGAAAAGAAGAGCAATGTAAGGAAGTGTAAGGCAGAGGGGTAACAGTAGGAGTGTTGCAATTTTTAATAAGGATACAGAATAGCCTTCACTAAGATGATGATATCTAAGTAGACTTGAAGGAGGTGAGAGAGTAAGATATGCCAATGGTATGGAGGTTCCTCATAAAATACCACAGAACTACCATATGATCCAGCAACTCTGCTTCTGGGTAAATACCCAAAAGAAGTAAGAGCAGGGACTTGTACAGAGATTTGTCCACCCAAGTTCACAGCAGCATCATTCACAACAGCCAAAAGGTGGAAACAAGCCCAGTGTCTACTGACAGAAAAGTGGATAAATAAAATGTGGTACATACAACAATGCCATTCAGACTTAAGAAGGAAGGAAATTTTGACACATGCTACAATATGGATGAATCTTAAAGAGACTAGGTGAAATTAGTCACAAAAGGACAAATGTTGTATGTGATTTCACCTATATGTGGCTCTTAAAATGGTAAATTTTATATTATGTATATTTTACGTCCCCAACACCCCCCGCCCAAATAAGAAGGCAAAGTGAAGAGCACAATAAAACTTGCTTCATCTGCTTCAAAAAACATAAGCTCTGGAGTTAGGCCACCTGGCCACTCAAGAACTATGTGCCCTACACAAGTCCTTGACACCACTGATTCTTCTAAAATGGGGATAACCCAACCCCAAAGGGTTGCTATGAAGATTAAATTAGATAATAACACTACCTGGAACATATTAGATGCTCAATAAATACCACCTATTATTAGTAGCATAAGTGAGCCACTTGCTAAGAAATAAGTAAGCTAGAGGCTTAGGATGATGCAGTGAGTTTATTCAGTTAAATCGTCACCATGGAGCTGCATGTGCAATCTTCATGAACTAATGGAGCCATGCAACAATGAGTATTTCGTGCAGTTTCCAGTAGATAAATTTGATATATTTTTAAGGGATGTCAGTTAATGGTGACTGAGGCTGAAAATGTCTCAAGTAATTTGAGAATTACCATGAAAACATAACAGTGTCTCCACACTAAACAAGATGGTAAATTATAAGACGTCTTAACTCGAGTGTTTGCATTCTATCAGCGCTGCAAGGACTAGGGTGTGTGGTGTCGCCCTTTCATTTGTTTGTCAAACATTTGCTGAGTGTCTGTCAGGTACCAACCACACAAATATATATATTGAATATATACATATATATAAATACCATATTATGTCTAGACAATTAAAAACTCCAACATGTCTTTTTACATTTACATTATAGTGCTTTTTAAGTGTTTCCTATGTTGGGCTTCTAGAGTCAGACTGATATCCTCAGTTATAAAGGATATAGAAAATAGGGTTATACACATATAGCAAATGAAACCTGGAACAACACTGTAGCTTATCTAACACACCTGGCTTCTTTCTGGCCATTCGCCTAAACTATAATACGAAAGAAAAAGTAGAGAACTCAATCTGCAAAGTGCAAAACTGGTGTGGTTGCAAATATCACAAAGGCTAGTAAACTTACGGAACCTGTGCACATGGCAAAAATGGCTTTACTTTCAATTCCATCTTTTAGAGATCTGAATTTAGATTGTTTCATGACAGCTTACAGTACATAAAACCCAGTTCCTAAAAATGCTGGTTAAGTCTTATCATATATAAATATACCACCACAGCCCAAACTAGGCAAAGGAAAACTCTTCAAGTCCTAGTTTCTGGCTCATTTACTTCAAGAAATATTAAAGCCCTGACACATGGAGACAATTATAATGGGACCTGACTTAGAGCAGCACAACAAACCTTAACACATAAAAGAAAAAACCAATGAGTGCATAAATAAGTGGAACAACAAATTGATGTTTCTCTCTCTCAAACCAGTAAATAAAAATTGTAAAAAAAATTATCAACACAGCTGCTGCCCTAGCTACTGCTAAGAGAAAGAGTCAAGGTCATACCCAAGTTACTTAGCATAGTGCTTTTAAGCTTCTGAGTATAATTATGAACTACCATGGGGTATTAAGGGTGAAAGGAAGTCTCTTCAAGTTCCACCCACTTTGGCTGTCCTTTTCTTCCGCCCCTTGTATAGCAGTTATTTAAAGACACCTCTTTGGACCCCTAGGCTCCTAGGTACCCAGCCTGAAAGCCACTGATCTAAAATGAGCCAAATGTCCTTGCACATACATCTTTCAATTGACAGTTGGAATGATGTAAAAACCGTATCAGCCTGTTATACCACATAAACAGTTCAGGGGTCCCCATGCTCAGAGGCATAAAAGAAGCAGGTGTAAAAATTAGAATTTAAAAATTTGGTTTCTCTTTGATACAATAATAAAGTTTATCTGAAAACTTATAACAAACATGACTAGACACACACCAAAAAACTGTGCAGCATGTAACTTGATTCTAGGAGTATATTCTGTCTAAATGTACTAATTACAGAAAGCCATTTCCAGTCCATTAAATACATTTATTCTGACACAAAAAGGACTGTTGTGATATTAACTGTCTCCCATAGCCTGAATGTAAGCTCCATACAATTCTTGGTTTCAGATTCCACTACAGGATTACAGGTTACCTTGGTGCATTAATCAGAATCCACTTACATTTTCTACAATGGGACTAGGGCCAACTGGATGAAGGGTAACTTCTCTGCTTTTGCCAATACTAACAACTCTTGTGACTAAATGCATCATAAGAAATGCTGATCCTAGGAACACTGACTGGTGAAGGATAGGGAGGGGAGTAAGTGATCCTTTCAGATACTGATTTTATAAACTTCACTAGATTGTTAAAACGTTTTTTGTAACAATTTTTAGGGGGAAAGTTCTTTGAGCTCTTGTTTGCAGAGTGCTTTATTCACCACTACCCCTACAAGGACCATATAAATAAGTATTTTAAATAAACAAATCAAACATCCCACTATCCTGTTTCACCTGAAAGTAGGGAAGATGTAGGGAAAAAAGGCAGATGGGAAATACATCTGTATACTTGTACTGAGCAATGTGTAAGAAACACAGGATTTCATAACAGTGACTATTTGGACCATACTAACACACCATTCCTATGAACGGTGCAGGCCAGGTCCAAAGGCTAAAGAAGATTAGGGATGTAAGGCCCAAGTATAGAATCTTCCCAGATAATAACAATATCAAATATCATGGTCCTTGATTTTTTTAACAAATGGTGCTTTCCTGAAATCTAGCATTTCTATTTCCCATACCATCGGGAGAGAACCAGTGTTCTTGTGTTTTCTCTGCTCGCCCTTGTTATAGTAGCATTCTGGTGCTTGCTAGGTATCATTACAGAAGCCATCTACTGAACAAAAAGCAACATCAAGTTGCAACAATATCAACCACCCACAAGTATTTAAAAAGAGTCATCTAATATCACTGTGTCCACATCTGTAGGGCACGAAGAATGCCTAATGTAATTTCCATCCTCATAGTCTCAAGTAGTATATTTTAATGTGTCAAATGAAGAGACATAAAATATTAAATTGATATGGAAATACAGTTTATGGAATGTTGAAAATAAGAGCAAGTAAGACTATTTATAATTAAATTATATATACTTAGGGAAAGATTAAATATTTAGGGAAAGGTTCCTCTATATTGGCTTCAGATACTTGATAGAGATGCCCACTTTATAACATCTAAATGGTGGCAGTCTTAAGAACTTACTACTCTGAGTCACTGCCAGCATTCTCCTCGCCCACAACTCTCTCCCCACTGTGATCTACTCCAGAAGATCCCACTAAGGCTGACAGCACTGAGGATGAGAGAAGTAACACTACCTACTCAGACCTGATTTGCCAATACATGCAAAATAATTCCTGTCTAATTAGGGAATGACCTTTCACCTTCTGACCACCCATTACTTTCATGTCAACAGGGCACAATCTAGACTAAAAGAAAGATGGGGAACTAATTTTTCAGACAGTGATTTTCTATCCTTGACCAACTACTATATGACCCACACCACACTCTAGAAGACTATTAGTAGAAAACACAGTGTGTCGACATCACTGATGCCAAAAGGCAGTTACCTTTTTAACATTCAGTAATGGAAACCAGAAAACTGAGCTCAAACTACTTCTAAGTTGAAACTAAGAAATTTACCTGGGATGGGCACTGAGAGAGAGATGAAAAGGACAGGGAGAGAACAGAAGAAGGCAGAGGTGGTTTACTCTGTGACAGAGAAGAATTTGTGTCTTTGACTTGTCAGCTTTGAATCAGGGAAGACTTGACAGAGTCTCTGGTTTGCCTATTAAGTGAACTACAGCATCTGTTCAAAGGTGATTTCCTCAGTGTTTGAGTAAAATTTACTGTGAAGCCAAAGTTCTTTCCTTTTGCTAGTAATGTGCTTTGTTGCTTTATTGACTCATACAGGGTTTTATGCAAGAGGGAAGATCAAAATGTATGAAACCTACATTTAGCTTTCTAAGAAAGACTGAAGTATTAAATAACCAACTGAAATACTGGGTCTTGGTTATATCTTCTAAGATCTCAGCCTGTGGAAATGAAAGCAAAATGGTAGCAACAATGCTTTTTAAGTATATGATGGTAGATACAGTATATAAAAGTACCCCCTCTCTTAACACTTGGGGCAGGATAATGAGCATGTGGAAATTTATAATGAAGCAGAACATTTCTTGCGATTATTAACCTTCCCCAGTCACTTGAAGTCACTATCTAAGGCATGAACTATGAAATTGCCTCTAAAAACACTATTAAACAGAAAGCTTCCAAACCACAAAAGAAAAGAAACACTTGGAAAATGACAGACAAAGGAAGTGAAAGGCAAATAACCAACTCGAAGGCACAGACAGAGTTAGGTGAAAAGAAACTTGATACTATACTTTGGTTTTGCATTTTTGTATTCTTCAGTGTCTGTGTCCTCGTCCTCTGAGTACCAATTATCTCCTCTTCCTCCAGCCAAGAGGCCCCTGGCCGCCAACAGTCCTGCAGCATTCCCATAGCCAGTGTATTTCAGCAGGCTATCCACTGCAAAAACAGAACAGGTTTTTAGACAGGAATCCTTGGGTGTGCACTATCATCACTGACCACTCACCAATACAGGGAGGCTGGAGATGCAAGTCATGGCAGTAAATCTTCAAAGTGAAAATTTTCTGAAGTGTAGTAGTGGTTATACTGAACTACCTACAAATTCTCCTGTGTGCTGTGAGGACCAAAAGTCTTTTTCCAGGTTTCTGAAATTCAAATGGAGCTGATTTGAATAGACTCTGTGGCAGGAGTGGGGCCTCTGTGACCACCAGGACATTGGTAAGGGTGGTGTTTTAAGTGTTGTTTGCATACCTTATTTCTTGACCTGGGTTTAGAGATATATTGATTATAAACTGGAGTCAATGAGGGTCAGACTGTGATTTTACAAATACTGCCTGTCATGTAAAATTTTTCTTATACCCTTTATAGGAACTAGAGGGAAAGAAAATTTAAGGATATTAGCAAATAGGACAGGCCAAGTTACTGCTTTTCAAAAAAACTCAGCAACAATATATTTGAAAGCACATGGAATCCACTGAGAAGGTAGGCCCAGGAGGTAGACTGGCTGATTTTCAGTAATGAACCTTACTAGCTGCTTGACCTTGGGTACGTTATTTTGCAGCTCTGTACACCTCAATTTTCTAATCTGGAGAATTGGAATAGTATCTACCTCATTGGTCAATACATGCAAATTGCTTTAAAAAGTGTCTGGCACAGAGTTTTTCCCTGGTAATATTAGGTAAAATGATCTCTGATCATTTTTTACTCATCTGCGTCAACATAAAGACAAACAAACAAACATGCCCCACTGAGGCACTTGGTGCAGAGGTCCTCTGTACGTATGCCCTTGCTCTGTCATCAGTGTAAAGTGACAATCTCTAAGGGAAGCAGACACACACAACTTCTGCAAGGAAACCTTGAGCTGCAGGCATTTTTCTTTGTGTGAATGATTTCTAAGTACCTTTAAGGAAGATACTGAGCAATCACTAGCAGCTTTATTTAGGAGCACTTTCTTTTCTTTAGGTACAATTTCAAAGTGCACATTAAAATAATCAAGAGATAAAAACTGGCAAAATTTAATTAAGGCTTCCAATAAAATGGCAACCTAGAGACAACAGTAGGAAATGGAACATAACACTATCCATGTGTAAAGTTTCAGGAAAATCTATCCTGGAAATACCACTGTAATTCAAATCACCTAAAAACAGACAAAACGAAGCTGGAGAAGATTCTGAGGAGGGCAATTGAAATGACTTTGGGAACTAGAAAGGGGCAGTAGACAGGGCAACAGGTGGGTAAAGAAAGGAGATACATGTGCTAAGAATATGAAATCATGAATGGTATGGAGAGGATGAACAGTCATTCATTAAAATTTCCAATGCTTGAGCTACAGGGTACCTCCCTTGACACTGAAAATAAAAGGAAGTCCTGCTTTCAAAGAACATAGCAAGCTAATGTAAAAGGAAACATAGGTTATTAATAATATAAATAATTAGATTAAGTTTACACTGTAAGTCTCTACCATTTGCTACCTTACACCTGTTGGTAACTATAGTTTCTTCGGTGATAATTCAGTGGGTACTCAATAAACTCATATTAGAATTTAAAGAGAGAGCATAGAGGTGTAATTTGAAAGCCCTCTGGCTAAATCTGAGACGCTTTCTTGCATTCGGTACCTCTGTGGCAGGACAGCAAGAAGCTAGGAAAATTCCGTGGCCAATTTCTTTCCTAAAATGGTTTTAGAGAGTCAAAGCAGCCCTGCCTAGTCTCTTGCCTGTTGTTTCTTCTATCACAGGCCCCTTCTTGTTTCACTGTTGCTGGCCTTAATGAACGTACTCTCAGAATCACCTGGACCTGAGCTGTGAAATCTTTCCTGCATGAAGTCAAGAACCCATACACTGCCAGCTGGCCCTAGGCCAACCCGCTTCAGGCCCAGCCCTCTTTCTGGTAACAACTCTGCAAAATGAGGTTTACTTAAATTAATGAGTTCTTAATGGGTTATTAGGGAAAGTGAATATCCAGTGCATACAGGTATTCTTAAAATTCATGGAGTCAGACATGACCTTAATGGCACAAGGTCACTGAGGCCAGAGGATCATAGATCTGAACCCCCATCTCACTGTTAAGCATTTTTGACAGGGCTTATTTTTTAACAAATAAGGATGTTTAGTGGTCCAGAAAAGAAGTACTTACTGAAATTGTGAAAGTCTAAATTGACATGATATAAATAAATGGTTTAATTGAATGTACCTAAAAACGAAATAACAATAAAAAAAGACACAAAACGTAAATAACCATCTGTAATGGCTAAAGATAAAAAGTTTAAGAATTCAGAGTTTATCAAAGTTCAAAATAGGTTCAAAAGAAGTAAACAGAGCACTGAATAACCTGCTATCTTATGCAGACTATCCTCCTGGAAGCTAGTTAGCAGGAAAAATCCCCAGCACTTTTATGAAAATAATGCTTACTGCTCATTCAGCGGAACAAACATTATGTGCCAACTCTCTGACAGCTTCAGTTACAAAGACAATTTACAACACTCTGCCTTCAAAGCAGATGAGGCTATAGCATGAAATCCTTAAAATGGGGGTTGGGGCGGGAAGGCAAATGGACTACGAAATCCTCAAAGTGAGAAGCATTTTCCTCCCGAAGCTCTGACTGACATTAAATATTTTCAGTCCTTGGTTGGGAATCCGCATATGCAAGAGGTACTTAAGTTCTAGTGGTTGGCACCCCTCAGCCCTATGCTGAGGAAAGTCAACTGTATTTGGTGGAGTGTTTCTAGCTACTTTTTAGTTTATTGTCAAATATACCATATAACATCCTATTTGATACTGGGCAAAGTAGTAAAAAGGAAAATGGAGTGAACGTGGATAAGGTGAGCTGCTAAGACAAAGAAAAGGTAGTGTTCTGGTGGTCCTTAAAAGAGAAAGACACACAAATATGTGTATTCCTTGTCGTAGTAACCTAACCATCCATACAGTTAGGTGAAACCACTGCGAAAACGAAACAAATAGCATTCAGTCAGAAAGTTGTAATAAATACCTCACCATTATTTTATCAAGATGCTAGAGGGCACCGCCAACAGAGGAAAGCAAACAGCAGCACACTGCAAAGTCAGAAGTGCACCGGCAGCCATGGCATTGGTGCCTGTACAAACGTGGGTCTTACCACACTCAACCATGAAAACAAGAAAGAGGTTTTGCTCTCACCAAAGAAAAATGGCAGAGCCATATTCTACCAAAGACCCTTCTCTGCTACACAGAAAGGGATTTATAATCCTTTCCTTCCAAATACTGAAACTTTTAGAAATCCTATGCCAGCTTCTCTATCTACTATTCCTGTTTCCAATGTCATGTCCCTCCACACAAATGCCTGATATATCTTATAAAACAAAAATGACATTACCGCCTTCCTGGATAAAACTTTTAATTTCTCTCCTAAGGGCTGAAGCTCAAGTTCTAAAACAGAGCCTAAGGGGTTCTTCATTTTCTGACCTCTGCCTTCTTTCCCAAACTCATCCCCTAGTTGCTCCTACATATTATGAATTCCTCACACCTTGAACTAGCTTCTTTCTGTACATATGAAGGCTGTTTCTCATTTCTCTGTCTTCTTTTGTGAAGACTTTTTTTGACCTGTTCCACTACCAATCTCTCCCTCTTCCAGGTTACACAGTGCTGGCACATTCCTCCTCTTGGGAGTGCTTACCATAGTACATTGATATTATTCCTTTATATGCAGAAATCCACAAGACAATTACAGGATACAGGGTAGGCAAAAGTAGGTTTAATTTGTATGAAAAATACAATAATTAATAAATAATCATAAAAGAATAAACTCTGTTTCACATACAGCTGTAAACCTTCTTTTGCCCAACCTGTATTCACCACAGTGAATTTAGAGAGAGCACAAATTTTTGCTCTTTTGTTAAACACTTATGGGGCACCCACTATCTGTAAGGTACTTTGTTAAATACTACGGATCCAAAGATGAAGAAGGCATGATCTCTAACCTAAAAAAACTAATGTCTAGAATGAAAGTTCAACAGATAAAGTTACAACACAACAAATGTAGAAAGTATTAAAACCAGAGATACATAAAAATTATACAAAGAGAATAATTAACTCTGTTGGATGATCAGAGATGTCTTCACAGAGATGACGCTGAACCTCATCTTCAAGGATAAATAAAGCTCACCATGCTAACAAAGATGGGGAAAGGTATTCCATGGGAAAAGAACAGCATCTGCTAAATCATGAGGGTATGCCAAGAAATGGTGCAGTATAATCAGGCAAGAATCAAGAACTTAGTATGATTAAGAATATACTACGGAGACAGAGATGGAGGAAATTTTTGGATTTTACCATGCAGGTGACAAGAAGTCATGAACAGTTTTACAGGATGAATGATAAGATTATATTTGTATTTTTAGAATAATCCCTCTGTTAGTCATGTGAAAGATAAACTGAAAAAAACTTCACCAGAAAGAGAGATGATACTTTACTAGTTTATTAAGTAATATTTACATTTGGAAATCCCCAGAAAAAAAGGCTAAAACAGAAGTCAAAGGAGAGAATAAGATCACCCAGGGAGTAATGTGAAGTAAGAACAGGGGCCAGAAAAGAACTCTATAGACTAGTGTGGCAATTAAATGTGGACAAAGTTAGGTGTTAGCAAACAAGAATACGAAGAAAAGGGAGGCAGGTCAAAGAAAATATAGGAGCGTGTGGTAGCACAGAAACAGAGTGGTCCATAGTATCTACTGCTAGGAGAGATTTAGGAAGAGAAAGACAAAAAATACCTACTGTGTAATTTGTTACTTACCTTGTGACCTAAGAGCATTTTCAGTGGAATCTGGGGGGCAGGGAACGGCAGTGGAAGCCTGACTGACAGCAAGCCGAAGCCCGAGTGGGCCTCAACCAAAAAGAAAAGCAGGTCAATCTTTCAAGATACTAAAATGTGTAGGGCAGTGACAGGAAGATGCATATATGTTGAAGAAA